TGATGATGATGATGATGATGCTTCATTAAATATTACCATGGTGATGATGATGATGATTGTTGACATCATTGACACTGGTCAGTGATGATGATGATAGTTGACATCAATGAGATGGTTGATCAGACACCAGAGATGATGATGTTGATAATAAATGGTTGACATCAATTACACAAGTGATGATCATGATAATGATAATGGAAATTTGATAATGATTGTGATTAATGTTATATTCTAAGGGTATCCTGATATGTGGTAATGAAACACAGAAGAAGAAATATCTGCCCAAGCTTGCTTCAGGAGAGCATATTGCTGCCTTTTGTCTTACTGAACCAACAAGGTATTTGMCTTTGTCCAACAGTCTTTATCTGTTAATTTAATTCTTTCCAACCTACCTTTGTTCATCCCTCTCCCATTTATACATCTCCCTTCCTACCTTATGATCCACTCATTTTTCCAAGTCTGCCTTTGAGTATTTTGTTCATTTGTTCATTCATTCATTTTTGCTTCAATTGTATGTTGTTCCAGTGGTAGTGATGCTGCATCGATACAGAGTAGAGCGACACTCAGCCCTGATGGCAAACATTTTATTTTGAATGGATCGAAGGTTTGGATTCTGTGATTATTTGGTTATATATAGTCAACTTTTGTCGACCTCCTCATTATTGCAGACAGGACCAAAAATACTGACAGAGAAATGATTGTAATTAATTAACCCTTGCTACTGTGGACATGTGTCATACACCAAGTGATGGTTCCAAGGATGTCTGCTGCAAGAGAATTGACTGTAGCTGCTATAGGGATGGCAGAGGGATGAAATAAGAAAGATTTGTCAGATTGAAAAATGTCAAGTTTGAGAAAATAGATACCCATACCTCAATAAGGGGAGGATTTGCAAGCCTTGTAGTTCAAGAAAATGTCCATACCTGTACCTCTTTAAGAAAGGTGACTGGAATGCCGAAGCAGCAGGGATAAGGATGAGAATAACTTTATTTATACATGAGAGTATGTGGACCGCGTGGCACTAATGAAATAGTAGAAGATAATATAGGTAAGTTGTAGTGAAGGTCGTGGGTTCGAATCCCAGTGAGGTCGGAAATTAATTTTTCCGAATTTAATTCCAAGGGCTTTCACCCGGAATAACCTCGTTCCCAAGCACTACAACTTACCTATATTATCTTCTATTATTTATACATGAGACATTTGATGAGCAAGAACATGCCGGTTACAAAAATGTACATGAGTGTAGTAGTAGATTATCTGTTTATAAATTCTTAAGAACTTTTGTCAATTTGTAGATATGGATTTCAAATGGTGGCTGGGCAGATGTGATGACTGTATTTGCAAGAGCAGAAGTGACGGATAAGAATGTATATCATCTGGGTTTTATCAACTATTAATGATTTAAAGGAAGGTGGAGTTCCCAGGGGGAGGGAGTGGGTGAATAGGGTGACTGTCCTCTTCCCTCCTAGTCCAGACGCTGATGGGGGTGGGGGGGAAGGGAAGTAGTCCAGGCGCTGTACCCTCTCTTTTTTTTCCCCGCTTTTGTTTTTGGGCTTCCTGTGTCACGGAACACAGGAAGCCCAAAAACAAAAGCGGAGCAGAAAAGGAGAGGGTACAGTGCCTGGACTACTTCCCTTCCCTCCCCATCCCCCCCCCAAAAATTCTTGGCCCTTCTTCTCAGAGGAAATAAGGTAACTGAACTATAAACAGGCTTAATAGATATTGATGAATGAAAGAAGTAAAAAAAAAAAATTGTTTGAGGTGACAATAATTTTCAAATGTTTTTTTTCTGTAACCCAGGGAGAAAAACAAGACAAAATAACAGCCTTCATCGTAGAGAGAGATTTTGGTNCGATCAAAATCTGTCAGAAACACGAACTATATGGGATGATTTTAGCAATACAGGCTGTGTAAAAAGGTAAGGAATACAGTATTTGCAGGGGTCAACAGGCGTTCCATTCGGCAAACCCAGAAGAGGTTGGGCGCTAGCTTTATCGCTTTTACAAAGGTCAGTAACATCTGGTTACAAGGACTTTACAACTTTCAGTAAGCACTGACTCACAACGTACGGGACGGGTGGATGTGATGACTGTATTTGCAAGAACAGAAGTGACGGATAAAAATGTATGTCGTCTGGGTTTTATCAACTATTAATAATTTGAAGGAAGGTGGAGTTCCCAGGGGGAGGGAGTGGGTGAATAGGGTGACTGGCCTCTTCCCTCCTAGTCCAGATGCTAATGGGGGTGAGGGAAGGGAAGTAGTCCAGGTGCTGTACCCCCTTCTTTGCCACTTTTGTTTTTGAGCTTCCTGTGTCACAGATCACAGGAAGCCCAAAAATAAAAGCTGAGCAGAAAAGGAGAGGGTACAGTGCCTGGACTACTTCCCTTCCCTCCCCATCCACCCCAAAAAAATTCTTGGCTCTTCTTCTCAGAGGAAAAGAGGTAACTGAACTATAAACAGGCTGAATAGATATTGATAAATGGAGCAAGTAAAAATATAAAAAAATTGTTTGAGGTGACAATTTTCAAATGTCATTTTCTGTAACCCAGGGAGAAAAACAAGACAAAATAACAGCCTTCATCGTAGAGAGAGATTTTGGTTTGGTGACAAGTGGTAAACCAGAAGATAAACTAGGAATAAGAGGCTCCAACAGTGAGTAATGATG